TTTTGAAAAATTATGCATTATTTATGAAGGGTGCAAATTTAGTCATTTTTGGGCATTGTTGTTCCACGATCGATTTAAAGGGGTTGATATATAGGGACGAGGAACGCCTGGCCAAAATCTTCAGTTTCACATCTACTCAGAACTTGGATTTTGGACATTTTTAAATTGATGTAAAATCAATATATTTGACCAGGCGTTCCTCGAACTCATTTGCATCAATAATTATTAGAAAATATAAAGATAAGCCTGTATTTTATATATTTATTACGCATTCAATATAACGTTTGAGTGTTGTTTTCTTATTAAGTATTTTATAATGGAAATATATATATATACTTAGATATAAAGTAACGACAAGTTAAATAAACTTATTAACTTTACAATGCATTACTGCACTTTTCATAAGCATGCGATCTCTGTGTCTCCGAGGTGAACGCTGAAATTWGTTTTTTCGCTGCCGTAAACCAAAAATATGAAAGGTACCGACTGATTAGGTTTGATTGACGGCAGCGAAAAACCAAATTTCAGCGTTCACCTCGGAGACACAGAGTTCGCATGTTTATGAAAAGTGCAGTAATTGAAGGCAAAAAATCCGATGCCTTACCTTTATGGTTTGCTTTCGCCGTAATTCGCATTCGTTTTGCAAATAGCAATTGGTTTTTTTGATCATTTTCCAGTAAGAGATAGTCGTCAAAAAAACAAAACATAACAAAACAAAACTACAGAGCTGATACCGCAAAGGGCTATGGGTAGGTGATGACATCTTCGCTTGATAACTACTGGTGCATCTTTAATTTGACTAATTACAGTTTGACCTACTTTGAGCATCATCAAGCTTCAGTTTGTATCAAAAACTTCGCTTGTCTGATATGATGTTTCCCATAATCCATAGCGGTTTCTGTTTCGTAGGTTTTTGGTAATTTGTATAGCCTTGTAAAGTAGGTATATATCACAAATCATTTAGAAAGTTTTATGTATGGCTCTTGATAGAATAGAGCGTAGATTGACATGACTTTTTAGTTGGAATTTTATGAATACAAAGTTCTGAGGTCATACTCGTCATGTCTATACGAGGGCGATAGATTTTAATGGAATAACTCGGACCCCATATGATTTCCGCTCGTTTAAAGACGTTTAAAAAAGAAGCAAGTATTCTGCCTAAATATTTTAAACCAATAATTCGGCAGAAAACAATAAGCTTATAGATATGTTTTACCATATGAAGCATTTATCGTAAATTGATAATCAGAGACAAACCAAATGTTATCGAAATAATGAATCCTGATTACAATTTTAAGATGTTTATAGTAACTAGTATTTCTCTGCTTCTTTCTACTTATGCCCAACGACATGGCCGCCATTTTGTATATTTATCCGGCAAAACTCGCTTTTCGCAAAGAACGATGGAAAGGTTTAGTTTAATGTCATAATAAAAAATCCTTTTAAAATATTTTAGCTAGACCTAAGCTTGATAGAAACTCTTCTTTTTCTCCTTCTTCTTCTCCGTTTGATTGTTTTTTCTCTTTGTCTATTTCTCCGTTCGGCTTGTCGTTGTTTTTGTCCTCTACGCCGTTTGTTGCCGTGTTTGAGTTTGGTCGCGTATGACGTCCGTACGGTTGAACATGGTCGGCACGAGGAGACTTACATCCGGGAGACGAAGGTGAAGTCGAAGTATGAATACTTAAGCTTTTGCTTGCTCTATTAAAAGTTTCTTCAAGATTCTCCTTTTCTTCTTGTTCGAATTTCGCGATAGGCATTTTCGAGTTTGTATATTTTAGATGTAGGCCATTTATCCTTGAAAGATCCGGGCATCTAAGTTCGCGCCCCTCGAGTTCAGTACTCCGCGCCGTTGTTAGTCCGTCGCGATCCGACGTCGAGCAGTGGACTGGAAACAATGGAGGGATTTCTCTGTGATGACTCGAGTATCGAGAATACGTTTCACGTACCACGTTCCTTGGTTCCATGAACGAATGGCCTAGTCTGGGACCTCCAATTTGGTTCATCCTAGGACCATATAGGTGAGGGTGGTAGTGTGATGGACTATATTCCCCTGGATAATCTGGTCCAACATGTCTGCTGGGGACCCCAAAACGATCAACCGGGAGATCTTGCTCACGCTCCATGGAAGTGAAATTATGACCATCGTAACGCCGTTTAGAAGGGACATGGAATGCCGAGCCCTCAGCAGGGCTACGTTCACCAACTTTTCGGAGCACATTATGTCCTTGGGGGGTCACCCTCGGGTCGTTTTCGTTCTCGTTGGCTCGTCTTGGGTGGCGATATTCTTCTCTTTGGTTCGCGTCTTCAATACGAATCGCTCGAGGTCTGGGTGGAGATGTTTTGTCTTTGTAGGTGACGTCATGGGTTAGGTCATGAAAACGAGGGTGTTCTTCGATCTTGAGGTTGAGCTGTAAGTTGAGGACTTTGCGAAGAGCTCCTTCGTAAATGTCAGCCAAACTGAAAATCAGAAAAACAAACGAACGATTACTCGCATAAGCATTAAGTTAGTACAATAAATAATTGCATATTTAGTTTCAACGTTTCATGAAGTCGTCGCAATTTAAAGGAAGACGTTTAAATACAATTCTCGCTATTTTAGCGCCTTTTGTTGTATCGCCAAACATGGCCGCTATCTTTGAACGCTTCTACTCGCCACCAGTTATGTACGTGTTTTTGTGCGACAACAGGCTTAACATAGGAAAAGAATGAAGAGATATTTGTTTTTAGTTCGTTATTTTTGCTCGCTGAGATGATTTACACATTCTCCTCGTCTCCCGCACAAGTAGGGAACAAAGGAAAGATATTGAACGCGAATTCCGCCTAGTGCTCGCTTTTCTCAAAATATCTTTGACTTCTCTACATTGAATTCTATATACTTTAATTCACTCCTTATAGTTTGACTCGATTCTGCAGCCATTTTTTATAACTTTTGGAAAAAACTTCAGTTTGCAGTTTACAAGACATCGAAGCAAATAGCAAAATGAACGCTTGTACCGTGAACTCCTTTTCTTCTAAGTTTCAGATTCATTTATAAAAAATTCAAAGCGGTTTACTCCATGCTCGTAGTCGTAGACTGCTTTTCCAAACTAGTGAAACAAAAAATTCCTAAGACTAAACTAAAATACTTAAAATTTCATCTGTCTCTCTCTTTCACTGTCTCAGCGTAGATCAAGTGGCGGTGATATAATAGCGCCTGCAAGCGCCACCGTACTACCGCCAGGTATTATTCACTGATTAATCCCTCACAAAACACCAGTTTAATTTCTGCCCAATGAAATGCCTAATCAATCAGGTAATACCTTGAGCTGCACTTAAATGAAATGTTGGATTTCAGATTCAAAAACGCTCAGTGACCTGACAAGATTTTTCTGTTTTTAGTAGCGTTTTATCAAGAAAGAATTGTCCAGCCAAGGCAGTGGCCGCAAATTGATGCCTAAGATATCTCTTATTTGGATTAGTAATATACCAGCTTAATGTTACTACCAAGTCTAAACATGTACGACGGCAGGTTTTCACCCAAAACTATAGTTAAAAATCAGTGGTCTTAATTTTAGGAGGAGAACTGTATGATCTTTGTAAGTTCCTGGACCTAATGCGACTACAGAGTCTAAACACGTACGACGGCAGGTCTTCGCCCAAAACTATAGATAAAAGTTGTTCTTAATTGTAGGAGGAAAACTGTAGGACCTTCTTAAAAGTTCCTGGAAACGAAGCAATAACACAGGACTTACTGGATCAAGATTTTGATGTGGATATTCTAAAGTTACTGGTGCTAGAGTTTTTGGAGGGGATTTGGGAAATCAAGCACAAGTAAGGAAGGCCTAACACAAGCAAAGCAATAAACAAATAAATTAAATTATAATCTGCAATGATATAAGAAACTAAGAAGATTACAAAAGATGGCAGGACTAACTGAAAATCTAGAGTGCAAATTCTACACCCCGAACATTGAATCTAAAGTACGAACAAGAAAATGCATGTTAGAACCTGAATGGCCGCAGATTTGAAGAGCTTTCTTGAGTCCTTTGCCGTTTAGGCTTGAAGAGAAAAAAGGTTCTCGGCGATGGATTTTCCCTCTTTCTTGGAGACAAGGGCCGCATGTTGTATGGCGAACGGTTGTTCCTTACTGGTAACGACCTGTGTGGTGAGGTTTGCTTAATCAGAGAAGGCACCTGCAGAGTCAAACAAAGCCAACTGGACTTCCAAGCTCAACGAACACATTAGGACAATTGATTTCTTCTTTTCCCTGGAGCTCTTAACTCCTTGCAAGGAAAACCAATATTGCTCTCAACACGTGATCACTATTCATGAACTCCTATTGAAGGGTTTCAGATCTTAATTACTCCGAAACTCGAAGCAGGCAAAATGAAGTTATTTTACCAGGAAGCATCGGACTATTGTTCATGAGTAGGAAGATGAGGCGATAGCTGTTAGAAAAGGTTATTAAAAGCAATTTAATATGACTAAAGAATACGATCCTTTGCTATAGATTCATGACGCTTATAAGTTGTTCGTTATCAAAATCATTAGCGGTTCGTGTAAAGCAACAATAGCAAAAAGACGAGAAAAATAAAAAATAAACAGAGGCTTTTTGTGATGAGTTTTGGCATCGGCCTGGCTGCACGAAAACCTTTAAACTTTTTGGCGGTAACTGAAAATGGTGCCTTTGACAAAGCTACCACTGAAGGTCTAAAGTCCATGCAATATTTTTAATCCAATCTAAAAGCAATGACTGAAACAGGTGTTTATATTGATAAAATTCAAGCGTTTATTTTCGCGGGAAAAGGTTTTTCAACGAGCGACGCCAAATGGAAATGATTGATGTATTTCCAGGAAATGCAAACAAACCATTATCATTCAAGATTTTTAATATCGTATATGACACGAATTGAGGCTAAAAGTCTGTTGTCAATTAGCTTAAATTAAAAAGAATAAGAAAACGAGTTTTGAAGGACTTAAATGGGGACTGACATACAATAATACAATAGGCAAAACAGATTTGAAAAGCTCACACGCAAACTCAACAAATAAAAACAACATCGCTAAAAATTGTAGCTATGGATTCCAACTGATTAATGGAGGGCAATCGTTCCCCTCTAAATTACCTATGATTCCAATAAAGGTTAGTTTAGATTTATCGTTGTATTGGTAATAGTCTTTCAAGATTGTTCGCCTGCGAATTTGTATAATTCGTATACATTTTTAATTCCCACGTAAAAAAAATTGTAAAAAGTCTACAAAAACTCTTTTGAACAATTTTTTTTCAAAACACTGCAATTTTTTGATGTCGTGGCTAAATACTAAATAAAGACTTTGTTTATATTGTTGTTTAGGTTTTGTTGTGTGCTTGAATAATGAGCGGTTATAGACTCCCAGTTCTTTTCAACCAAATTTCACCTTAAAGTCTTGACAAAATTTGCAAATAAAAGGTTTGAAAAGGTGTTTTTTTAATACCATATTCTCGRAGGAATATTTTAAGATCTTTTAAGTTTACGCACGCCGCCACGTTCAGTGTATTCTGAAACATGGTTTTGTTTAGGAAATTAAAGTCCGTCCAAACTGACAAGAACGTAGGAGACCTTTTGTAAACTATATTAAAAACCTCGCTTTTTATGGAATTTTATTTTTGAAAGAGTTAACAGTTTCATGCGGTTTAGGTTTCAATTTAACACGGAATGCCGTGTTCAATTTCTTTCCAGGAAAACATACATGGCTGTCCAGGAAAGTTATACGTCCAAACAACAATGGAGGAAACCTTTCGTGAATTACACTAAAAATAAGCGCTTTCCATTAAAAAAAAATGTTTAAAAAGAGTTAATAGCTTCATGTAGTCTTAGTTTCAGTTTAACAATGTCATATTCAATGTTTTTTTTTGTCTTTTTTCCCCCTGGAAAACATAGCTATCCAGGAAAAAATCGGGCCGATCAGACAACAATAGACGACACCTTTAGTAATTACTGAAATACTCGCTGTTCAAAACCATCAACACCACAAAACAAAGCCATTCACAAAGCTCTTTGTCAAAAAGGCGCGAGAAAATGGCGCCAAATCAATGATTATTTGAAACAAGATATATTTTTAATTGGTCTGCTTGGAAAAGCAACTGAACTTGCTACTCATGCAGTGTAAGCAATATTAGAAAACACTTTTTTTGATTTAAAAAGGGAGACAATTTATAATGTGATAATCATTAGTGCTGAAGAAGCCATCTTAGTTGTTACGAGGCCCACGGTAATTGGCGAAAGCCCTAGTGTTCCTTCTGCTCCTAGGGGAAAAGTTAATCAAACAAAATTAAACATAAATCCAAGCTTAGCTTCTACTGAATCAACCAAAAGATCATATAAAAAATGAATGATTCGCAAAATAAACGGTTTTTGTTTGTAGTTCGGCAGCGAGTTCTGTTTATTTTACAGGGACTAATTTGGTACTAGAAAAGTTTTACATCTTTCATTTCCAAAAAAAATTTTTAGTTTCCAGGAATTGGTAACTGGCATTAAGATTTGCTGTCTAGCTGCTTTTATCATATATATTTTCAATATTTAATATTTTTTTACCATAACAATAAAACTAGTGTTTTAGGTGACACGTGTAGGTTCGGTGTTTTTAGGTAGACCAATGCACGCAACAGAAATATTCCAAAACCACACGGAATACTTTTTAGCTTTAGTGCTTACGTGAGCTAATTTTTTGACACAAAAACAAAGTTTCTGGTTTAAAAATTGTCATAATTTTAATAATTTAAATAAAAGGTTTAGTTTACTGTGCTCACGCGTGACAACTATGATAAAGCGACCGTGACAAACGTTTGCCAGTTAATAAAAAATACGCCGGTTGTTTTGAGCTGAAACGTCGCCTCAAAGTAAAAGTCCAAAATGCCTCGAAAACTCGAGAATTATTTCTTAAATTAAAGTTACAGATCATGAAGACATATTCACTATTTTTCGATGACTTAGGAGCAATTCAGTACTCGATTTTCGTGTTTCTGACATCGTTTTCTACTTAAAAAGTTATAACCTCGCGAACAATATATAATATATTACAAAATACTAGATCATGCAAACTTCTTGTTTGTACATGTCTCTTTAYAAATATTTTTTGTGAGTGACTAAGAGCTTTAGCAATTTTAAGCTAACAAAATCTGTTAGGAGAAGAYGATTAATAACGAAAGCAAAACGAGWAGAAAAAGAAATCCGTTTGTTTTGAACATCTGTGTTGCTGCTGAAACTGTTGAAAATTGAGTTTCGAAATTCACAAAAAAAGTAACTGAAAAATATCGATATTAAAAACTTATAGTCTAAAAATCTAAATGGTACTAAGGGGAGGTAAGTTTTTTCTTGGGGGGGGGGGGGGGGTGGGGGATTCGCAGTAAACTTTTTAAAAAGAGTTGTGACCTTCCCGCTTTCACTCAGAGAAATTCATTATTCGATTTATAACATTTATAACAAATGCAAGAAACA